CAGCACCACTCGTGTCTTCTACCGGTTCTTCTGCAGCGACAGATCCGATTGGAGCGGCAGATTCTTGCTTCGCGTCAGGTTCGGTTTTCTCTAAACTGGGCTCGGCGACCGGTGTGCTTCTCTCCTCCGTTGTGGAGACTTTCCTGAGATGTACCATGCTACCTCTCGCCGCATTTCGTGCCGCTGCTCTTCTTGGGAGTGGAGGGGGTACGCCAGTAGGTTTTACAGGAGTTGAAGGGCGTACGGGGGTTTCCTCGTTAGCAGCTACTGGCTGATGTGGAGTACTTTCGGGCACGGAATCCACACTACCTTGAAGTTGGATACTGCCTGTGGGTTGCGACTCTGGATTTCGTAGGTCATTGGCCCCTTGGGTGGGCTGAAGACCCCCAACATCCTTCTCATCATCCACCTTTGTCGATTCTGGGAAACCCGTAGAAAGAGGTGTAGGGATGACGAGTTCAGGTTGCTCTCTGGCGTCCAAATCCTGGTTCGACAGTAAGGGATCCCGGTGCGCGGTGCTCAAATCTGTGGAAGTCGTATCTTCTTTCTTCGGTGGTTCTATATCTGATGAGAGTAGGGGCTTCTCTGTTGAAGGTGCGCCGCCTGGACCGTCGCTCGCGGCTTCGTCCGCCTTAGCACCATCGTCAGCGTGAACATGGTTCTCGTTGACCCGCATATCATGGAGAGCCGCATCGGCATCCGCGACATTACTAGGGCGAGCATAGCTTCGCTTAGGCAATGGTGGAGGTTGGGTCTCGGTGAGTTGCATCGAAGGTTTAGTCTCGTCGGTAGAGACACGCAGCTTTTCCGATAAAGATAATCTTCTCTCCTCTCGACTGTCTCTTGTTCGCTCTTTGGACGTGAACTCTTGCTTAGGCGGGCTCGTTGGTGCGGCAGTTGGAGCAGAAGTTGGGGCAGAAGTTCCTGATAGAGTCCGCCTCATACTAGAGAAGAGACTATTATCCGAGGAGGGAGAGCTCGTGCTCGGACTGTTGGTTCTCATTGCTTTGTCGAATGCTCCCCTTCCCATATCCCAGAGATTCGCCATCTTCTTCTTTACCGGAAGGACGGGAGAAGGAGCCACCTGTGGTTCTATAGGAGTGTCGAGTTTGCCGTTAATGGCTAACGTGTGCGTTTCTCCGTCCACTTCGATGTGATCTTTGAGATTGATGGACCTTGCTTCTTGCCAGACTCGTTCTACAATCCCGCTTTTGACAAACGACCAGAGTTCACAAGTCGTCCGTAAACGAGAAACACACCAACCTGAATGACAAAGAGGGTAGGGTGGGCCATAGTTGTCAGTGACCTCGTCTGACTCCGCAGGAGCATTGCCTTTATTGGCCAATGGGACACGAAACGAATGAATTAAAGTCTGCAGAGATGTTGGCGGGGGTGGAGACGGTGGCCTATCTAGCGGGTACACCGACACGGGAGGATTGGCGTTTGTGGTGTTCAGTGAGCGGCGTCGAACTGGGGTATTGGTCCCACTGTTATTACCACTACCACCAAGAGAAGGAAGATTCACGCCTTTGAGGAAACTGGCCGCAGCCCATCCTCCGCCAGAGTCTGTTCGAATGCGTGAGGGTAAGGTTGGTTGTTGGGTAGCGGTTGGCGTGGGCGTGGTTGGCGACTGGGAGAGGACCTGAGACTGGTAGTGCTGCTCTTCTGCCTGAATTGCTTCTGGAGACATGTACACCGTCTTTCCACACAATGCACAGGTGACTTTGGTCAGTTGTGTCGGCGACGTTGGTAGGGAGGTGCCTGTGTTTCGGTTAGACGTGCGAAATGTAGTTAGTAGTTGACCTTACCTGAGCCAAAGCTAGAGTAGGAATACGTAGAGGCACTGTTTTCAAGGAATAGGGTGGCGACATGGATTTGTTCTATCCGTAGTGTGCTTGCATGAATTGCAGCGAGAACCGACCGTCGGGTCAACCAATTCAAGGAGGGTGCGAGGTCCAGTCGGAGAGTAGGCTCCCTATGGGTTTCTTAGGTCTGGCTAGAAGAAACCTGTTAAAGGCACTCACGAGTCCTCTATAGCAAGCCTCTGCACGAAAGGGAGCGTTAACAACGAGGAGAGATTAGGTGGATTGGGGGTTGTAGGAAAGAGTGTCCGAAGGTGGGAGATAAATGATAGATAGTCTCCCTTGAATGGGAGATGAGAATTCATCATTCTGATAACACCAGAGCCTTGACTGCTAATGTTTACAGAGTTCATCGACTTGACCGCCTTGCGAAGTTCGTTCATCTCTACCTCGCGCAGACCCCTTTCTTCCTTCAGCGCTTCCACGGTTTTATCACCATCCATTAAGCGCTTTTGGTAATCATTGACTTGCGCCTCTAGAGCAGTCCGACTGCTAACAGAGGCGGCCAATGCATCCTCCACAGACGACCGCATTTGACGCTCCTTGACTACCATATCGTTCGCTGCGGTAAAGAGATTGGCAGAAAGATCGGAGAGTTCAGCTTCGATCTGAGACTTCTTAGCTTCGGCAGTCTGTTTGGCGTTCGTGGCGGCGATTGATTCTTCCATCAGGCTGTGGAATGCCAATGAGTGATGCGGAAACGACTGCTTGAGAAAGAGATACATACCGGCTCATTTCTTCTGCGACAGCTTTCCTCTCGACCAGTTGACCATCTCTCAGCATTTCTTCGTGCTTTATCCTCTCTCGCTCGAGGACATCTTTCTCTCTTTCGAGATTTATTCTCTCTCCATCCAGCGCGCGTAGCTTTTCGTTGTTCTCGTCCAATGTCTCCTCCAGTTGAGAAACTCTATCGTACGACTGTACGAGTTTTGTATTGAGGAGAGATACTTGTGAGAAGAGGTCGGAAATCTGCGTCCGCAACGATGCAATTACAAGGGCGCGAGGGTCATCTTCGTCGTCCGAATGATCGGTTTGCATTTTCTTTGGGTCTGCTAAGGATAAAAGAGAGATTTGGGTGTCAGCATCCGAGACGTGGAATGGTTGCTCCATCGACGTTCGATGAGTGGGCACGATAGGTGTTGTAGGAACACTTTTGAGCACTAATGGAGGACTTGCTGGTTCAGGTATTGGAGCATGTTCTTCAACTGGAGTCAGAGCAACCGTCCGCATTCCTTCGAGTTCAGCAGAATGTTGCCGGAGGAGTTTCTCCTCTTCTTCGTTAAGATCTCCTTCAGCATTTATCGGTATTTCGATGGCTATATCTGGCGAAGAAAGTCGTGGCGAGTCGGTGGAAAGTGCATCGAATACGACTTCTGATTTTTCGTGCAAGCTCATGGCACGAGTACAGAAGAATTCTAGGATGACCGGATTCCCTTGCAGCTATGAGGTGATAGATGTGCCGCTTTTTTGGGACTAACGAGATGCGACGGAGTTGGGAGTGTCCAAAGTTGGTTGTGGCAGTTCGACTACCCAACGCCCGACCATTCCCACCACGCGTAAGAACGATGTACGGGAAATAGTAGCGCACACAGAATTACCTTTGCTAATGCTACTTCTATAGACGTGGAGTACTTAACCCTACGGATCAAAAATGATCAAAAACTGGGCTGTGATGGAAGTGGGATTTGAACCCACGCGGTTTCCCATATGAGATCCGGACAAAAGTTCTAAATCATACGCCTTAACGACTCGGCCATTCCACCGGAATTGACAGTAACACAACAGTCACTTATATACATGGTAAGGCTGTTTGCCATTTACCCGTTCTAGCAATACCCTCACTGGAGAGACCTTATGACCGATAGGTTATCCCGTAAAGGAGCACTCATGGCGACGGATGGATACCTATAACTTGTTTAGGAGCGAATCAAGCATGCGACATTTCCTGAAACGGGGTTTCCACTGAGAATGCACTATTCACTTACCGGATAGAGAGAGTTGCGTGTATTTGGTATACAAATTATTTGACTTATGACAACGATTGTGTCTTCATGCATCGTGTTGGTAGAGTGTTGCCGAAGAACTGATCTACCCTGGACAGTTTTGCCTTCGTCATCGCCTATCGTGTGAATTTCTCCTCACTAAGCCACCATACAAGGTGTTCCATCTATATCATCATGTATTCAGCTCATCTCTCGAGCTCCTCGCCCTTGATATGGATATATAGGTAGGCTGGATGGCTTTCCAAGGAAGGTCGCTACAATGGTGTTGTTTCTGGAGTTATAGGACCATATCCCCAATTAGGTTGTCTCTACAATGGTAGAGTGTCAAAGTAGAGGACTAATTCAGTCTCGTGAAGCGCGCTTTAGAAAGTATACCTCATCGAAAACCTATTCCGCCGTTCCCTCCACCGTCCCTTGAGCAATTCGGTAGGCAATCATATATAAAATGGACGTAATAGAGATAATAAGTACATAGATACAGTAAATATTAGATTCAATAACGAAATTTAAGCCGGAAGCCCAAAGAGACCGGTGGCTTCAGCAAGATGCTCCAGGAAGCACCCTTGACTCTTCCCTTCTTCGTGAAATCTACGACTCATCAATGTATTGATTTCCGACTCTTGCCTCTCGCAGGCTCTTCCACCGTTATGCTTCTTGCACTCGGATACAACATCATCCAGGAGCGCAAGGGTGATATCGTCCATTTCTCCACCGTAAAGAAGGTAACTGAGTATAAAAAGTAAATAAAGTATCATTAACGAGCTCCCAATGATTTACGTACGCTCCCATGGTGTTTTTATCGATTGCCTAGCAATGCTAGCATCAGCCATACCTAGGGAAGAATGGCGAAAATACATACCTGTCTTTTCTTTACATAGGCAACTAGGGTCTCCAGCTGAGTGGTTTTGGCGCCTGTCCCACTATCGAGCATTAGAAATTGGAATTTGGACAGCAGGGGACACTCACGTGTAGGTAAAATCTGCAACGAACTCTTTTTCTCGCACCTCTCCAGGCTGCAGCTTTGTCCTTATCGGCTTCGCTTTCTCGTCTCTCTTGTTCTTATGCTTGTACCATTTGGCTTGTAGATATGCTGTCAAGACGGTGAAGCCTGCCGGAATTTCCTCGGCTGTCAGCTGTCGCACAGTTGGCGATTTTACCACTCCCTTTTTAGAAGGGGTATTGGTACCCGTCCCGGGAGTACTGACAACGGGTGTATTACCCGTCTTGACTCTTTTTGGCCTGTCAACAGCTTCAGGGACCACTCTTGGAGATGGAGTGTCGTCGAGCTTCAGCTTCTTATCAAGGAGTTTTGCATGTCCTGCCTCATGGATATCCTTCGGGACCAGCATTTGGACAATAAGATCGCAACCCATGCGCCCTTCTTGCCTTTGAGAGACTAGTGTCTAATAGTAGGGGAATGGAAAAGTGAGATTGAGTCATCGGTCAATAGTTCGGGTACTGTTATGCATTTCACTCACAATCCCCGCAGCCTTATGTTTGAGCATGGCCAGGGCTGCTCGTTCGGTAATACCACATTCGTTCAAGTAACTGTCTGTTCCGAATTCGTTTTGCCATTCGTGGTTCACGGGGAAGATTTCCTTTTTTATATCTGCGCAAGCAGCCTTGAGGATGTCTCTTGTGACTTGGGGTATTCCGCCTTTGCTGTGCACGTTGCCCTCTTCGTCTTCATGATCTACCTCTGATGCCTCTTGACTGTGTACGCCTCCAGGAGAAGAGGATGAGCCAACCCCTGTAGGTGGTACCACCAGATTATCTTGACTTTGGCCCGTCGATTGTTGCATGGGTGCCGCGCTAACATAGCTGAGTAGTAGCAGATGAAAGATGAGATGAGCAGAATACATGGAGAGAGGAAATGTAAAGTGTAAGAGTGGTAGAAGTGGGAAGGATATGGAAGTAAGGAAGTAAGGAAGTAAGGAAAGGTTCAAGAAAGCAACTGGTTGAAGAAAGGAGAAAGAAGGGAACGCTCAGCGCTGGGGGCTCATTGGTGCCAGAGATTTGACCTTTTATACGGTAAAAGATCTCATTATAGTCTAGTCTATGACAAGTGGTTGGATCAGCTTGGCTGCCAATTCGATGAAACGTGGCGATGCATCTTCTTCAGTGTGACCATGAATTTGACAGGATTAATGCGTGGCACAAAACCGTGATTTTCGGCCTCGTCCTCACACGCAATGCCACGGAGGATAGCCAGGGAGTATGGCGGGTACGAAAGGGGGTGATCCTGTGTGAAATAGTCACCAACTCTTCGTTAAGTTAAGAAGCTATTAGCCGTATTAGCCGGGCGCGGTGACCATGTGAGCCAGTAAGATAATTGATTGCGGCTTACCGCACTTGGCCTCACACACACACGCCATGCCAAGGAGTAGTCGTTTGTACTGTATCGTAACCGTGAAAACGAGGGCGCTGCCATAAACAACGCACGCCATAATTGTCCCATGTGAAATGCGTGGTCAATTAAAGCAAGATACTTCGTCTTCCCGTACTAGTCGTTTTGGGTTGCTCGTCTATTGTCCACCAGTTTTGTTTTCGCTCCCACACAGGATGCCTCAAACGACTTGTCAGTAGCTCTACAAACAAATTAAAGAATGTTGCTGACAGCTTACAATCGGAAACGAGGCGGTGGGACGTTTACGACCATTGAGCTGGCTTTACACCCTTGCCTTGGCTCAGGGCCCCCGCTCCTTCCAGCCATAATCTCGCCCGTGGCATCAGCGACGTTGAAAGCCAGTCGTCCGCCCCATCACCAACCTCGGCTTGCTCTACTTCCTCCGATCGATCATTATTACGACACGGTTTGAAGCACAAACCAGCGATTTATATCACATAGGTGTTGTAATATGTCTTATCATTTGCATAGCGTGTCCCCGAATGACCAGCTCTCATCTCTCCGTCCACCGCCAGGTCGTCTGCAGTGTAGATATGGAGGTAAAATGGAGCCGAATAGCGAGAGATACCTCCAAATGACCATATTGACGATGAAACGAGCATAACCGACGGTGTATCTCAGTACATAGCCAGGAAGTATGGGTAGTCTGGGAGTGGTGCATAGCAGCATCAATCAGACACACAGCGCCTTGCCGGGTTAGTTACCAGCTCTTTATTCAACAGCTCAAGAGTTTGGCCTTGATCCGACTGTGAGAGTATTAACGCTGTTCGGCGAGGACCGTATCCTTCCACTTACCCACGCAGCTAGAGTGTTTGATAACGTAGAAAATACGCCATCCAATCAAGTTCAAGATCGGTCATTTTTCGTGCGCAGGACAAACAACCACACCGCGTGGTATGTCGGGAAGTTTCCAATGCGCTAGTCCTATTTCAGCGCTATATTCATCTCCAACGGCACTGCACTCGTTTAGGTTACCTAAATGAGTGAGGTATGTGCCATTTCCATCCCGCTTCGTCCCCCCACCGTCTTCGCTCTACATTCCAACCATCACCTTGTCCGAAACGTCAACGGAGGTGGGAACATAGTTAACCAGCCTTGTCACCGACTCTCGTTTGCTCCGAATAGTCACAAAGGCAGAGGGAACCACAGACGACATCACCACGAGCGAATGCTCTCTCTCTAGGATGTAACCATGCAGAGATGTAACCCACAGAACTCACGAGGTCGTTAACTTGCTGAGATAGAGTCCTGCGGGCGTAGTCGCTTGAAGGGATGGCTTCATCAAGATTGACTTTCGGTTTAGTCGGCATTGAATGCGGTCCGTGGTTCTCACTGGTCTTCTCGTACCGTCTAATTGATTCCCCTTTCAGGTTTCAGGACGGTTAGGGCCAGGTGGGTACGTTCGCGTCATTTGAAAGTAAGCTATGTACGTTATTACTCACCTACGGACGATGAATGAGGGAGCTCGAATCCGGGACTGTTCTTCGCGATGTCCTGACGGTCCCGGCCTACCCACAAGACATCGCAAGCAGTTCGGGGATCCCCAGGAGATCACCGCACGATTTTGAACGTCCTATGGTTACGTAGAAGTTGAAAGTTGATCAGCCAAGTCGATACAAGGATCGCCGTCGCAGTGGCGGAGGTAATCCTTTCGGAAGATGGCTGTGAGGATCGTGACAGTCGTTGGGATGACATGCATGTAGTGTTTGCGTTCACCTAGATCTGGTCATTCCTGGTGACGATGGACCCGCATATGGTTGTTGAAAGTCGGGTCGCATTCAATGAGTGTTTGCTCCGACGGCTGGTGAAACCCGTGATATTTCATACCCGATACTATAGCTTCATGCTCTTTAGGAGACGTAAACCAAATTTCCCCACGGATCTTGCTACCGATCCAAATATCCAACGCTCCCTCTTCCAGTAGGACTTGGCCGTGGTCAGCACTATATACAAACGACATCAAGGTCAGCTCCGTAGAATGAAATAATCGTTGACTGCGTAGAAATCCTGGTAGTAAAGTGAAGAATAACGAGAACACTCACCCAGCTTTGGACAGATGTCGGTTTTGGCAACCCGGAAAACGATTCTGCGCCTAGTGAAGGATGCTCTGTAGCTAGGAGAGCTGTTAGCTATACGGTGAGCTTGAGCAGCCGATGAACAGTTGCAGCGAGGGGGTGACGGCGGATTGGGTCTTCATTGTTGGGAGCGAGTTCTCTCGATGAGGTAAACTTCTCGTAGCCCGTTTACATAGTATCCTTTGAAGAAATCCTGACGCTTCATCGATACGGATGGGGCATATGGGCCCTAATATTACGAGAGACAATACTGCTCGTCGGGTGGCAACTTATGTCAG